CTCCAGAGTGCTCAGGACCTCAGACTGGGCCGAAGGTTTATCTTCCAACAAGACAATGACCCTAAGCACACAGCTAAAATAACGAAGGAGTGGCTTCAGAACAACTCTGTGACTGTTCTTGAATGGCCCAGCCAGAGCCCTGACTTAAACCCAATTGAGCATCTCTGGAGAGACCTAAAAATGGCTGTCCACCAACGTTTACCATCCAACCTGACAGAACTGGAGAGGATCTGCAAGGAGGAATGGCAGAGGATCCCCAAATCCAGGTGTGAAAACCTTGTTGCATCTTTCCCAAAAAGACTCATGGCTGTATTAGATCAAAAGGGTGCTTCTACTAAATACTGAGCAAAGGGTCTGAATACTTAGGACCATGTGATATTTCAGTTTTTCTTTTTTAATAAATCTGCAAAAATGTCAACAATTCTGTGTTTTTCTGTCAATATGGGGTGCTGTATGTACATTAATGAGGAAAAAAAAAATTACTTAAATGATTTTAGCAAATGGCTGCAATATAACAAAGAGTGAAAAATTTAAGGGGGTCTGAATACTTTCCGTACCCACTGTATATATATATATTATGCCATATGGGTATAGTGGTTTACATTAGTGTGTGTGTAGGGCAAGTGTGCAATAGTATTATTTATTATAGTATTTCATTAGTGTATTTTTACTAATGTGAAGTGTGCTGCAAATATTGTGATTTCTATGACTTTGTAAAGTGAAGTATGCAGTTGTTTTGTGTAGTCACTAGTCAGTAATGGTATGTATAATGAAGTGTTTAGTGTTCATTTAGTGTTTTTTAACACTAGAGCTTGACTGCTGGAGGATGAATGAACTGACGGGACAATCTTGAGATTCCACAGAGGAAGAGAGGAGGACAGATGAAAGAGAGCAGAGGTCAGAGGACAGAGGGACAGAGAAAGGGTTAAAGCTGAGCTCTCGCTCTCTCTGCTTCACCTCTCTGAGCAGCAATTCATGAACATTCAGCTGCTAATCACTGTTTAAACACACTTCAGCGCACACAATACCACACACACACACACACTCACTCACACACACACACAGTCACACACACACACACACACACACACACTCTCTCTCACACACACGCACACACACACACACACACACACACACACACTCACACACACACACACACACACTCTCTCTCACACACACACACACACACACACACACACACACACACTCACACACACACACACACACACACACACACACACACACACACACACACACACACTCTCTCTCTCACACACACGCACACACACACACACTCACTCACACACACACACACACACACACACACACACTGATCTGATCCTTACGTATCAATCCAAGGCCTGTTCTGCACAAAAACAAGACTTTTAAACTTTTAACTACTTCACATCAAATCTGAAATATCACTCACATGTTGCATGTTTTAGAATTTGCTTTTTGAATTTGTTTCATTTTTTCAGAACCTTCAAAGTTCTTCATGTCTTGGGGGAAATCATCTTTCACTTGTTTTCTAGAAAAAACCCTACTTTCGGAAAGGAACAAAATGAAGGGAAAGAGAAAAGAACAAAAATTTCCAGCTCAGCTGAAGACGGGAATATCAGGAAATGACATCTCAGTTTCCTGTTTCTTCCAGAGAAAAACTCAATCCATCTCTCTATCTCGTGTGTTTCTTTATACCATTCTATCTATGATGAAAACAATATCTCTGTTAACCTGTGGAGAGAATGTTTCCAAATCAAAAACAGTGAGAGAATGATTCATGTTTAAGTGTTCAATTGTTAATATTTCATTAAGTTCTAGTAGATGTTTCACTAGCGATGGATTGTTTTATAATAATAATAATAATAATAATACTACAGGTAATATGGACCCCACTGGCTCAAACAGACAGAACAGATTCATGATGTTTACACTCTTCAGGGAAATCAGTGTATGAATGAATGACATATTTAGACTTTGCTTCAAGTCAGTGTATTTTCATAATTCAATACCCAGATTATCATAATTCATCACAAATAAACTGAAAGTCCTTAATAAACATTGAGGGGGAAGTGCTTTCGCTGTAAGAACAGACATTTGGTCCGATTTGTGCAGCTTGAAAATGGTAATAAATGTCTTCATCGTTTGTTGATTAATAGCTGAAATGAGGAAGAAATGTTTTAAATGGATTATATGCAGAATATAATGTGAATAAATAAATATTGTACAATAAAATATTTTTTTATATTTCTTATTGTATGAATATATATTTTTTAAATGTGCATTTGTCGTTTTATCATGGTTAATTTGGTTCTTTAGTGTTGATATTGAGATAAAGATTTTAAGAATTTTTAAGAATTACATTTAGACTGTTTTTTTTTATATATTTATATTAAAAATATGAATTAAAGAATTAATGGATAAATGGTTATTTGGGTAAATCTGCCAAACGGGGCAGTTTTGGTTGCTATTTCTGACAGGAATCGGCTTTATTGTACAGGTTTGAGGTTTGTGTGCGTGTGATTTAAAAAAAAGAACGTTTTTTTTATATCATAATAACCATCACACACAGTACTTTTTGTAACGGGCTGACAAAATGTTACACCCCCCATTAAAGACAGTTTAATGCTCCGTTAAATAATTAATAAAGAAAAATATGAAAATACAAAGAGTGAGAGAGGACGTTTGGCGGCTATATTTAATTATTAATTAGGATCATTAAAAAAGATTATTAATAAATAAAAACAGAAAGAGTTCTCTTATAGTTGTAAAGTCCGGGGGCCATAACCTAATGAATAATTAATGAGAATAATAACATGAGCTAAAAATACAAAAATAAATGAATTGATCATTTATGAATACAAATACGAAAAATCTCCAAATTGTAGGCTATAACAAGAGAGAAGAAGGATGTGTGTTTAGTCTATTGTTGATGACTAATATGACTATTTAAAATCATTCAATCACATTAATATAATTATATGTAAAAATGTGTTATTTGATATGGAGTCCTTAATGTAAAATGTTAATGTTAATTTGTATCAAGATTTACATTGTTTAAATGATGCTTTTTAAAGAATAATGTAGTAATAAAAATGTATATAATACATGATTATTTGTTGTATCATTTGTAATATAAATTATAAAATATAATATTGCTTTTATAAAATGGTTATTTGGGTAAATCTTCCAAATTGGGTTGCTAGTTCTGATAAAATTTGGCTTTATTTGACAAAGTTTGAGGTTTGTTTGTGAGTGGATGATTGGAGATTAAATAAGATTATTGATCAATAAAACTAAAAAAAGAGTTCTCTTTAATATAATTTAATAATAATTAATAATTCATGAGTATAATTACATGGGGAAAATACCATAACATATAACAATGTATAAAAATATTAGTAACACTTTAGAATAGGGAACACATATTCACTATTAACTAAGAGATTTCCCTGAACAAGCTCCTAATTTGCTGCTTATTAATAGTTAGTAAGGTAGTTGTTAAGTTTAGGTGTGGGGTAGGATTAAAGGGGTCATAGGATGTTGCTAAAAAGAACATTATTTTGTGTATTTGGTGTAATGAAATGTGTTTATGCGGTTTAAGGTAAAAAAAAACACATTATTTTCCACATACTGTACATTATTGTTTCTCCTCTATGCCCCGCCTTTCTGAAACGCATCGATTTTTTACAAAGCTCATCGGTCTGAAAAGCGAGGTGTGCTCTGATTGGCCAGCTATCCAGTGCGTTGTGATTGGCCGAATACCTCAAGCGTGAGACAGAAATGTTACGCCCCTACCATACTGTGATGCCCTGTCCAGCCGAAGCGATGAGACAAAAACATTAAAACCCATTATAAACGGGGCATTTGTTGCATCCAGTGGGGACATAATTATGGATTATAATGACTTATACTGTCTTTTTACGCGTTGCGTTGCATCGTGCCGCGTAAACATAAAACCATGTCTGCATTTGTGATCAGAAGAATGACAAACAACAAGCAACGTACTTACAGTCTGTGAGTCAGAACAGCTGGCATTGTAGTCTACTCTCCCAGGATCAGGAAACTGGAACAGTGTTGTAAATACAACTTAACCACTGATTTCTAGTCGTGTCCATTTTTGGAAGACCAAACAAAGTAGTTTCGCTTTCACAACGAAACACAGCGTCACACACGGCGGCCTAGAGTGAGCGGCAGTGGCCTACAGTGAGCAGAGGCCGGGGGCTAGCGTGAGGAACGGCCGGAGGGTTAGAGTGAGAAGAGGCGCGGGCTTGAGAACGGCGCGGCCGGGCCCGACGAAGAAGCGTCAGGAAGGACATGTGACGACCCCGGGCTGGACTCCGCTTCATCCACGGTGAAAGCCGATCCGGTGATCCACAGCGTGAAGTTCATGTATTTCCTCAGCGACCAGCACGAATCAGCTCTAGGCATGACGAAGCGGATATCGTCCTCTTTTGGAAGACCAAACAAAGTAGTTTCGCTTTCACAATGAAACACACAGCATCTTCACGACATGGCGGCGGCAACAATACTACAGCGAGAATAAAAGTTACACCTTATTTCTTTGCGTGATCATTTCGTTATGCAAATCTTCCCACATCGTGACGTAGACATGGGGGCGTGTTAGAACGAGCAGTTTTAGGTAACTTTTATAAAGAATTTCTCTTTGGATTTCAGATTTTAGTCTTTGCAACTTTACAGATCTTGTTTATGCACCAAGAGCTTGTAACACTCCAAAGAGAAAGGAAAAATTTAACTCGCATCATATGACCCCTTTAAGGGATGAAATATGGTCATGCAGAATAAGGCATTAACATATGCTTTGATTATAAGTAAGCAGCCTACTAATAAACAGCCAATATGGTAGTAATATGCATGCTAATAAGCAACTAGTAAACAGTGAGAATTGATCCTTAATATAAAGTGTTACCAAAATATCATATATGGAGAATGAGAATAATAAAAAAGGGAGATGTGTGTGTGTTTGGTGTTCGTCACGCTGCGGTCATGTGACTTAACTCCAGCTCACTTCCGACTCTGCGTGGAAGAGGAAAAAAGTTGCACCTCAGGAGTGAAAAAAGTTTTATCTTTCGATTCATTCCGTGAAAACCAGAAACGCAGCATCGTTCAAGCTCATCTGCGTTTATCGGAGGATTAATAAGGTCGCGGGGCTGTATTAATCGGTGTGAATCGGGGTAAGTGCTCGGGATGTCCGCCAACAGTGTGTCGTATAACGAGCAGGGCTCGGGGGAGTCCGGTGTGGACGCGGCGCAGGAGAACAGCAGCATCCCCGCGAGCATCAGCGCCGGCGGGGCCGCCTTCAGCCTCTTCAGCGCCGACTGCAAGAAGTAAGAACCCCCGAACACACGCTCACGTGATCTTTATTAATATGCTTTTCACTTTCCACAGTGGCACCTGCGTGAGAAGTGTAGCCATAGCATATGAAGCAGAATGTTTTTGTGCATGTTTGGGTGTCAGGTGAAGCCCTGTCCTGTGTGAAACGAAAGTAGCTTTTTGTGAACTGCTAATTTGGGTTATTAAACATATTGTTAGGTTGGAACTATTATGCTTCATTTGCGAGATCAACTGCTTGTGTAATATTTGCATGGAGAGCAGATTAAGCAGCCTCACAGAGTTATTACTTAAAGGCCAGTGTGAGAGAGTTTTGGGTCAATTCACAGTTTTGTCAGTTTACATTTCAGCATTTATATCAGGCTCCTATGTGTAGGTTCAGTAATTTCCCTTTAAAGGGGTCATATGATGTTTTTTTTAAAGATCATTATTTTGTGTATTTGGTGTAACAGAATATGTTGACATGCTTTAATGTTCAAAAAACACATTATTTTTCAAATACTGTACATTATTGTAGGTCCTCTATGCCAAACGCTTCG